GCACAACAGATTTACTGAAAGCTTCATCATAAAACATAAAAAATCCAAAATGCCTCTCACCCTAGTACTTTTTTTTCTGCTGGTTGTTTCCATTTTAAAGTTTTGAAGTTTTAATAAATTGAACTTATAACATCAGAACCCCTAAATTTCAACTAACAACAGCGGTGAATAAAAGAAAGAGAAGAAAGAAGACAGAAAAATTTCTCCAAAACTTTCTCCGATAAAACAAACAGCACGGTATGGCTTCAATAACAACAGTCAACTGTGAATGGTCATACCAATTTATTATTGTACGCAAGATGCACTTTTTAAATGTTAAAAAAATAAAAAATCTTTTTCTTGCAAAAAAAAAAGAGATGAAAAATTAATTTTAGTCATAGTCTTTAATAATAACAACAGCAACAAGAAAGAAAAAAAAGATAAATAAATAAAGCGACAACTTAATTAGAACTTTGAAACAAAAAAACCTTTCAAAGGTGAAAAATACACTCACACAAACGTCTATAATTTTCATTTTAGAAAGGAGCGTATTCCGTAGCTGCCGAAGACTTCGGCAAACACGAATATGAATAAAGGAGATCAACAAACAGAAAGTGTCGAAGAGGAACGGTGTGGAAGAAAGGAAGACAGACGAGAAAACCTTACAAAACGATTAAAGAAAGCCTATCCAAGGAACACAAAAATATGAAACACTAACTTAATAACCAAGCAAAAACACGATTGACACGACACTTCAATCACCAATATAATACACATAAACTACTCGACGAGAAAATATGGTATTTGAACAACAAAATCATATTCTTGTTTTGGCCCCCAACAAACGCCTCACTCTCCCCCCACTCGAGTAAAATTTTTATTTCAACTAAATTGAGCAATAATAGAGCCAACCACCGCAACTTAGTTCCACTGTAAACACCAAAGAAACCTACAGCATCTTATTTGTTCAATACTTCAACATTCCTAAAAAGATTTCAAAACTGACCTTCTTGAATATAATATTTTACTTCAGAGAACTATTGATGTGTTAAACAAATCAATTTCTTTACACTTTTTTTTTTTTTTGAATGTAGCGGATAGCTGAGACATCCGGCAAGAAATAGGCTTAAATTTAGTTAAAAGTCTGAAAAAAAAAGAACAAGCGAAAACATAGTAATCACACAGCTTCCTGAACCAGAAGAAGAGCAGAAATGATAGAACGTTAGCAAAGTGATAAACCTAAGAACTAAAGCCATTTAAGAGTTTTCGGCTAAAACTAGTTAAATAGCTAGACTAATAAGAGTTGACAGATAAAATACATTATGCCGCCTTTTGGTCTACTAACTGCTCAGTTGTCTTTGCAACTGCAATCGAATATTGCTCGAGTACTTTCTCAAGCTGTTTTGCCACATGTCCTTGCGAAGCCATCGCCAGTAATTTCAATGTTCGGTCCCAATCTCGTTGACTTAACGCTAGCAGGCAACAAAGTCCCTTAAAATTAGAGAAAGCAATGCGTTTTTTGAATCATTTTGAAGTGTAAGAATGCAACAAACAATCAAAAATGAACTGATAAAAGTAACTTAGTTATGCAAAATTACAACTAGTAAAATTTTCTTTTCCAGTCAACGCCCAAAAATTAATTTTCAGAGAAATGAGTGATGTACTTTAACTTCTTATTGGTATTGTTCGGCATATTAAACTTTATTAATTGTTTTTTTCAAAAAATCTAATTCACAATTAAAAAAGAAATATTTACGTTAAAATAAAAAACATTATAACTGATAAATTTATTTTGCAGAGGAAAACCTTTTGAGTATTTGTTAAGATTAAATGTTCCATCCACTTCTGTGCCATTTCTGAATAATCCTCAAGTGTCATCTACAAGAGGAGAGAAGTATCTTTAGTTCACTTTGAACATATTTTCAAAATTTTTAAAATAATGACAAAAAGGATATCATTTCGTTAGCATAATAGCTGAAAATACTTGTGTTTTATAGCTTTACAGGGTTCTTGTACTAAAAAATATAAAATGATCCATTTTTTTTGCGAAACTGATAAAATATATGATGTAACAGAAACTCAATTAGCCAGAAATACCGCAGGTTTAAAGATACCTTAGCAAAAATACAGCTTTCTTTCCAAAGTCCCTGCGCCTGTAAATATCGACAAGCGTCTTCAACATGATTAATCAAAAACAACATTTCCACTCCATCTAGAAGTTAAAAAAATTTGGAATAGGAACAAAACAGGCTCTGAAAAAATAAAGGAGCATATAAATACTTTAAAAAATACATTTCACCCGAGTCTAAAAAGTTTAAAAACGAAGATCGATTAGAACTAAAGTCTTGAACTTGAATAGTTTCAAAAAAAAAAAAAAGCTTTATAAAACTTTTGTAAGAAAAGTAAAACAAGCATAAAAAAATAGTGCAAACAAGTGCGCTCAGTAAACTCAAATAATGCTGAGTTAATTACACACATAAAATTTATCTGCTTTTTGCTTTTGGTACAGCTATTTGTAACATTATTGTAAATCAAATTTTTTTTCTCATGTAAACAAGCATCACGACAACCAGCGGTGACAGCCAATAATATGACAACACCATTGGCACCCCCAACAACGTGAAAATGCACTGATTCAAATGTCAACGAATTATAGTAATTACTTTGTAAAAAGCTAAATTGCAGTACCGTTTTTCAAAATAAAATTGTTACAAATTTTCAAAAAAATAACAATTGAAAAAAGAGAGAGTTGACGAGTAAGACAGATCTCAGTTGGTCATGGAAAAAAACTCCTCAAAAGTTTAGTTTAAGAAACTTCTGAAACAAGCAACCCTTCACTGCATCAATCATCACACAATAACATTTGCTATCTGGAGATGATAAAAGTTAGCCAATCTTCATAAAAAACCATTGCTTGATATCTACAGACTGTTTGTGTTAATTTCAAAAATTGTACGGTGTCTGCATCCTATAATAAATAAAAACTCCGTTTAAAATTGGATCAGTTTTGAGGCAGTCAAGAGGTTATCCACAGCCACCATACACACCTCTGTAAAGTAAGCAAACCATTCAATAATGCAGCCTTAATATCTCCCAACTAGATAAAGATTTTAAATGAAATGTTAAAATCAAACTTCAACTTTCCTAGTCCCTGACACTCCCTAAGCAGCTTTAACAACTGCCTTCAACTCTTGTTCCTCCAAATAATACGGTTTTTCGCAAAAAAAGATGACCTTCCAACAAAATAGCTCCACTTTTAAAATTAGCAAACCATCTCTTCGAGATATGGTCAGTAATAAAGGCCCTATCAAACCACTCACTAATTGTCCAAATGAATGCAGAAACACCTACTATTATCTCAGCAGAAAAAAATAAACAACAAAAACACAACATCTTTGAGTTTTGAAAAATAACTATCACAGAGTAAATTAAAAATCAGAAACCTGAACAAGAGCGAGATAAGAAGAATAAGCAAACACCGACCTTTCGTCAAACTATTTATACGATTACATGGAAATTATAAACTTTATAGTGATCTTAGAGACTGACGGTCTTAATATGCAAATTGAGTGGTTACTTCTCTACGACAGAGAGCCGGAATAGGAGAGTTTAGCGAGGGTGACAGCTGAGCGGAATGCGACTACAGCAAAGAGAAAACTGCCATAGCAAGGGAAAAAGGAGAACGGTGCCCCAAAAGAACTGAACGTAGCGGACCTTCCCTTCACTGCAGCAAGCTGGGACGAACAAATATGACGCAGTTTTTCTGCGGGAAGGATTTATCCCGCACGCAAATACCATAAATATAAATATATAATTAAAAAATATGTATATATGCCATACCAAGTCAAGTCGCACACTTTTGCACCTCTGCCTCTCAAATTTTTTTCATGTTTTGCCTACTTGTAGCGCTTAATACCGGATTGTGAGATCAAAAGAGTTTACCTCAAAAAGTGCGCTTGCGGCAAAGTTAGACCGTTTTAAACTGCGAAAAAAAAGGTAACTTGCAAAACGCAAAAAATATATATGAATCTTATCTTTAAAACCACTTCAGTTTTGACCTCTTCTTCAAATAAGGCCACATTTCCTCATCCTCAGAAACTATAGTGCCTGATACAGATAATACAAATAAGAGAAGCACCACTAAAGTCACAAAAATTCAAATAATACAGAAACTTGTCTAGTAACTCAAGCGTTCAACGTCCATATTGCGACCGCTTTCCCAACTACACTCATTTTTACTGGAACATTTCTCAACTACTTTTGCCGCTTAAAAGAGTTCAGTAACACAACAGCCTGAGATGAAATTTGCTGTTTCGCTGTCTATGAAATCACTCACCAACAGCAAATCTAGAATATTGTCCTCAGCAAATCGAAAGGAAGTCGATATTTTGAACTACTGAATCAATTTTTACCGTCTTTCACTTTAACCCATATATCTAGTATTTCTGATGCAATTATATAATAATGGTAGTAGTTCCCTTCAATTATCTGAGTCAATTCCACAATGAAAGTAAGAATCTTTATTTCAGCCACTAATTACCGTTTACCAGTAGCTGACTTCTTTAAGTAATTTCCAAAACCTTATGCATAATGCACTTAATCTTTCTGAAACTTTATCAACTAATATTGATAGAGAATTACTGTAAGATACCGACTTCACAGAGCACCAGCCTGTCTTCAGTGAGTTTATTTTCAGTAACAGAGTACTAGTCACATCCATTTATCTTTTCTCACTAATTTTTTGAAAAATCTATTACTTTTTACAAATCTACTAAAATCAGCCTCAATCACTAATCTGCAATATTTACTATACTAAAATTCTTTCTACTATTCTGCTAATTTAAGCATATTTCATAACTGAACATTTTGCTACAACTGAAAACCAAAGCATTTAAAAGGAAAACCTCAAACAGATGAGACACGAAGAACTGTAAGAAATGATAAATATGGTCGTCCAAAAGGCAAAAAAAAAGAGTATTAATACGATGTGCAGTCAACAAAGGACATCAAAGTTTTTAGTACAAAATTACTAAAAAGGCATATAATAACACTTTGAAAACTTTTTCTAAAAGACAGGATGCTAGAGCAAAGTTTATTGAAAGGAAATCATAGTCAGATTTTGTAAAACGTTATTATTTTTCGGAAAGGTAATAAAAAACAATAAAACTGAAACAAGTGAGAAACACTGAAAACAATATTTAACGTAGAAAAAATTAAAATGTTTCTTTTTATGACCTAACTGTAAAGATTGTCTGCACCTCCAGACAAGTCATTCAAATAAAATATTTTAAGTTCTTTCACAATAAAGTCAAACAATTTTTAATTACTTGTGAAGCAAAAGTAACTTCGTTACTTCATTGGTTCTTCCCCATATTCTAACAAAGAAAGAAAGTAAAAGCTTTTTCTCAAAAAAAGTAATAAGGAAAATTCAACTGAACCCTTAACGTGATAGCGTCTTAACATAAAAAATATATTCGATTTAAAAAACTATATAGAGATTACAAACCTGTTATACAGCTGCTAGCAATCAGATTAGTAGCTACAAGTTTGATAATGCTTTGGGCATTTTCGGAAGTTGCATCAGATGCAAGAAGGCAAGCTTTTAACGCACTTGGTCGACAGTCGTCCCCTAACAATAGCTGTATCGCCCAGTCACGCTTAAATCTATTCTAGTTAAGCAAAGCTTAGTAAACAAACTAGTAAGCTGGTAAGCATGAACCAAAAAAGATAACAATTCAATTTACTAAGAAAGACGGCCCAAAGCAGTGCGAGTGAAGGCTGAAATGGAAAACCAGTATAATATAAAGTTAGACAGACAAATCTCAGACTAACCTTCTTCAAGATCACTGCGCGATGAACTAAAGTCTTAATCTGTTCGGAATCCAAGTCTGGCAAATTCATCATACAAGAAAGTAACAATTCGGATCTTAACTAAACTAGATGTCGTGTGCAATGTTATTACATTTAACTTTTACAATAGAAATCCAAAAAAATAGAAATAAAAATAAAAGAATAGAAAACAGTAAGTAAAAAATCAAAAATTAAGTAGTTTCTCATCGAGTAAACAATATAACTATTAAAATAACAAAGGCAATGCGTAACTAGTCCCGAACTTAAGGTTTCCAAAGTGATAATAATAATTTATAGTGAACAAAAAACGTTTACGTTTATTAGTTCCTTTGACCAAAACAGAAACAAGTGGCTCGAACATTGCGAGTCGTTAAGAACTGATTCAGCAATACTCCAAAAGTTGTAAAGCCACTTATTTCCCAAAAGACGATTTAGAGCCCGATACCTCTTAACTTGGTACCCTAAATAGGGTTTTTCAAAGCATTTACTAGCAAAATTAAAATGAGCTATCATATAGGACAAAATCACATGATGCTAGCTGAACAAAAACCAACAAATACCTTTATTTAAATTTTTGACTGCCGGTGAATTCGCTTCCTGCCTTTTACAAAACACATTGTCTTCGCCTAAATTCTTCTCAGCAGAATAATATTTTAGGGAACGGAAAACTTCTCTTAGAATTACCAGGACAAACAGCGCCTGATGCAGACAATTCCGGCTTTTCATTTAGTGTATCACAAACAGCACTTAACAGATCATGAAGAGGCTTGAAAGCTTCGGGAGTTTCTTCTTCGTTATTCAGTGACTGTACGGCTGCTGAGTTAAGTAACAGTGGAATATCTGAGATTGAATCAACGGTTTTGAATATGTAAAAAATAATCACTATTTTAAAATAGTTTAAATTATAATAGATACAACTGAATACAACTGACAACTGTATCATGAAGCACAGAAACACGATTAGTCAAGGAAATATTTCGTCGATATTTAGAAAGAATGCACAATAGACATTTCACACTTAATGTAACTCTTTCTATGTTCCCCAAGTTTTGCGAAAAAAAGTGAAATATCTCCACACTGCAACTACTTCACAGCAAAAGATGTGTTATGAGTAAGTTTAAGTACGACTAGAGTTAATGAGAAAAAAGTATCTGGTATTTATTTTCCCATATAATGACCGAGGCACGTAAGCATCTTTTATTTACGATTCATCCACTCGATTACTTTTAAATTTGAAGAGAAAAAAAAATTGGCAAACTTTTTGAGTATATGGCTTCATTAGGTGACACAACTGGCATGTAGCGGAAAGAGTTGTCTGAACATAAAAGAATAGGAGAAAGACCACAGAGATCCAGATCCACGAATGAGCGACTAGTTCCAAGAGTGTAATGCTTAAAATGTTATTGTCATTTTAAAGCTTTCTATGCTTCGAACAGCTTGAGAAACCAGGTTTTTAAAACCAACATGGAGAGTGCTAAAAGGATGAGTATAAAACTGCCGATAATTTTAAAAAAAAACTTTTAAAGACAACCTGCATAACAGTTAGCTGATCAGCGTCCCACAAAACAACCATTTGCGGGTGCAGTACCGCGAGAGTATGGTCGCCATTTAGCCTCGAAAATGTCATCTTAAGGATTGAACCTCTAAATGCTCCTCCGACTTGCCTACACTGACGTTTTTCCAAATCCCAGATACCAATACGCCCAGAAGTGTCGCCTGTTGCTAAAAGATCATCTTTCCAGACCAGGCACTTCATAGAAGCAGCTCCACTTTTCCACTGCAATCAAAAAATGACCGTATTTACGTATATGGAAATAACACCCGTAAACAGCTTTTGTAATTAAACTGAAGGAGACCAAAAGCAAATAAAAAGTACCTGCGAGCTAACTTCCTTCCCATCTCGAACATGAAGTCCCTTGACAACTACATGGTACAAATGGCAGTCTTGGTCCAGTACTACTAAGTTTTCTCGAAATACCACTTCGGAACCACTACTGACGGTCTTCATAGTATTATGCTTGCTAGACCAAGCCTAAACCAAAATAAAAGACTCTCCATCTGCAGTATCTAAATGTAATAAATAGAATTACAATTTTCTTAGTTTCAAAAAAAATAAACTTTACTTTTACGAACAAATGAAAAACAAAATTGTGAACAACTTATTCCTCTAGTAACTTCTTTAAAATATATTAACCATATCGACAATTACGGGGCATGCACGCGACATTCTTCTCAATAGACGCATAGACTTCAGATGCCATATTTCTAAAGGTTCATTTCGAAATCCAATAGCGACATAACAACTATAAAAAGTTTCTTCTAAACTAAAAGTCTTTCTAAAATTACCAAATCATTTTAACATCTTGCTTGAAAATTATAGATCCGTAGTCTAAAATTTGAAAAATTATTATAACTGCACTTGGATAAAAGGCTAATGTCTCATTCAAGACTTACTGATAGTAGGAAACACGCAACATTTCAACCGGCGTTTCATCAATTTCAGGTCTAAGTCTTTTACTCTCTCCTAAATAAAGTCAACAAGAATTAAGGTATAAAATCAATGACAGCAAGAAAAGAAAAACGAACCCGTCATTATGTCTGTTATGAAAACGTCATTACGAACCACAGGAGATGTAGTTAAAGAGTCCGTGTAAGCAGCCGATATAAGCGAATATGCGTTTGCCCATTCCAAACACCTGAAATAACCTGCTAATTTCTTATGTAAAGTTTGCGACTAGCACCCACCAAAAATACGGCTCTGGCATGTTGTTCATTGAATACCGGCAAAAAAAAAAAAAAAAAAAAAAAAAAAAAAAAAAAA